CACCAAAATATAAAATAATATGGAAAGGACACATGAAAAAAGAGAGAAAGAGGAGAAAATAGAAAGAGAATACTTATTTGCTTTACATGAGTTGTTAGATTTAATGTACACAGCATCTCAACTCTCAAAAAAGTAGACTTAATTTGTTAAATGACAAAGAACTCATGTTTTCAGAGGATTTATTATAAAGGGAAATGATGTGTGACTGTGTAGGAGGCTGATTTTTAAATTAAAACTTCTTGACCACCATCCAGTATGCCTACATATATATAACTCCACCAGGAAAATCTGGTAATACTGTTATGAAGTGACACATTGTGTAAATAAGCAAAAACAACAGGTGTTACACATCTGTTCTTTCACCAATCTTTAGAATCTATCTTTAGTGAAGCTATAGTGGAGTTTGTAAACTATTAGAGAAAACCAGCTGAAGAGCCTAGCCTGTAGAGTAAAAAATTCAGGCCAATATCCGTAAGAGTTTAGGACTAGGTCTAGGATTATTTCACAGTTTTATCAGTGGCTGGAGTAATGACATTGAAGTAAGTTTGCAGATGCCTTTTGCAATTTAGGCAAAGTTTCTGCCCTCATTATATTCTACAGAAACCTCATGACTTTCACATTTTAATTACAGGTATCATCATTAACTTAGGAACTCAAGTTAAAAATTTCAGAATCATTTTCAATTTATTCACCCCCACCCCATATCAAATCTCTGTCAATGTCTATCAAATCTACTTGTAAATGTCTTTTGAATCCATATCAACTGTCCTATCCTCACTGAAACTGCTTTATACGTTTTTACCATTCCTAATCTGGAAAATTGAATAGACTCCTAACTAGATTCCTTTCCTCCATCTTGTTCCCTTTATTTCCACCTCCCAACTGCTCAAGAATTATATTTCTAAAACAAAGACCTAGCCACTTAAATGCCCTGCTCAAAGTTTTCTGGTGGCTCTTCACTACCCACTCTAAAGTGAGGCACTCAGGCTCTTTTATGTTGGGGCCTCAACTCATCTATCCAGTCTCCTGTCCTGCTACCTCCTTCCAAACGCTCTCTGCCACCAAATCATTCACAATTCACAGGTTGCTGCACATGCTTTTTTGGCTGCTGGAAAGTCCTTCCAATCCTCTGCAATCTGGAAAACACTTAACTTTGACTTCAATGTGATACTCAAATGCCATGTCCTATGTAAAGCCTGTGAGAATCATCCCACGCAGAGTTCACTACTCACTGTCCTGTGATCCAACAGAGCTCAATACCCACTTAGGCTTCTGCACACAGTTCTGCTATAACTGCTTTGCATTCTGTCTCTTCCCTAGCTTGAACATCTTGGAGAAAACATTACATTTTATTCATCTGTGTCTTCTTTAAACTTGACATTTAGTACATATTCATGTGGTCAATCTGTAGAATGATACAGTCTAAGGCAATACACTTGGACTAAAAATAAACAAATGAAAGATTGGGAACCACTAAGTAATATAGACAGGTATGGACTTAATATTGGTAGAATGATATGCACGAAGAAAAGAATGATAGAGAAGTAGAGTAAAAAATTACTAAAAGCTCAGTGAACATAATTTAGTTACTTACTGTGACAAAAATAGTACTACTAAAGTTGTTCTCTGCCTCAACAGAAAGCATACCCCCTAGATCCTAATGTTTGTACTACTTTGAAACCTATCCAACTCTATCACATTTCCTCAGTTTTGTTGTTTCTTCTGTTACTTCCAAACTAGTGTCTATATTCAGAGGGTCTCAAATCTCAGATTCCCTTTGAGCATGCTTAACCTATTCTCTCCATTCTCAACAACTTGGCTGTTTTACCAACTCACTTCTCTGAACTATGATTTGTTTCCATCAACTTTTCCAGTACTATTCTCAATTTCAACCATCACAACAGATCTACATTTTTTTCTGATTATAATTATTTTTCTCTGTTTTCGACAGATATATCTATAATAATGATCCAATATCATCTTAAATTAATATATACTATATGGCCATATTTTCAAATTCATCCATTTTTCCTTTTTTTTTCAATCTGAAGGGCTCTACTAGCTTTCTGATCTAATAATCTTACAATGTCACAATTACCTTGGATTTCTCTTAAAGACAGGAGGTCAGAAATTCTTTGTGCTTCATAACATATGCGTAGATGAGAGGCCTAATAGTTTACTCTGCATTAACCATCTTTCTATCAAATTTAATATGCAACTTGCTCACCTGATTATTTTATTATTGGCTTACAAAATAACACCCTAAAAAGTCCATTGCTTCTTAGCCTCTCCTTCCCAATCTCTCCTTGGCAGGTGCTGTCTGCTCTACTCATCTCAGATTTCACCCCTGCTTAGATTCTCTGTCTTAGCAGGCACATGACTGTTTGCTCCCACTTCTAAGTCTTCACACATGCAATTTCTTCTGGCTGGAATGCCCTCCCTGCTCGATTTCTTCTGCTAAGCTAGTTATTCTCTGCCTGTTTAAGATGTACATCCTCAATGTGGCCTGCCTCAGATGACTCAACTCTGGTCCCATTCATTCTGTTTTATTCAGCATCTTTTCAGGGTTATATATTAGCATCTCTATAGTCCTGCTTCCTTGCATTTCGGTTTATTTTTCATTCTTCCCTTAAATTTTCATTTGTGATGCCAATTAGTCACACTCCCATGGTTTCTAAGTTCATATCTTCTTCCGCCTCTAGAACCATTGACTCTGTGTACCCACATTGGCATTTCTGCCTGCTGGAGAAAATGAACTAAAATTGCAGCAGGAGAGATTAAGCTGGAGGACCAGAAAGTAAATGGAAATTTTCCATTTTTGGAAAATACCATCAGCTCCCATCTGTTTTGGATGGTTTTCTAGGATGAGAATGATTCAGATATAGAGATGATGTCCCAATTGTGATAATAATCACATTTGGGTTTCTTCACCATTTTGCTCTTTCTCGGACCTGTCCATTTCAATTTCAGGTTCACTTTTCTGCTCTTTTGCCACACTGTCTCCCTCCTTTCCTAGGAAACCCCACTTAGGTCCCTTACCACTTAGCTCAGGAAGGACAAAACCTGACAGGAGCACCTACCAGTTACTTTCTGCATTTTCTATCCCCTAAGGAGAACATAAATTTTCTACCTCTGGGGGTCACCCTCCCCTTTTTCATCCTGAAGAGATATTCCTACCCAAAACCCTGTCAGCCCAACTCAGGAAGGGGCATTTATGCATGTTTTTCACCACTGGAACACCTAACTATCTCAGGTTTGCAGGCGCATATCAAAGATCTCTCTACTTAGAGAGGGTCCTACAAGTGTCCCACCCAAGGAGATGCTAAGACCACACAGAGGAGCAGGGGCTCTTTTCTTTTCTTCCTTAAATCTCCTAAAGAATTATAGCAGTGTTTGATTCAGACAAAGGGGGAAGCATCGGTGTTCTCTCCTTTTTTAGTTGGTGGGGGATCGCGGAAGGGTTGGAAATAGGTATTGGAGTGTTTTTGTTTCATCTCCTCCATTAACAGGCAGATGTAAATTCCCCTGGAGCAGAGCGATTATCCCCACATCTTAATCCTCAGATTTATCCAAGCAGAAGATGGGACTAAGTAAATCGTCTCCGAATTAGGGGTTGAGGGAGGTGGCGCAATTTATTTCCTTACCCTTCCATCTCCCAGTCTCAAACTGTGGCTCATGATCACTCCCTTGCCTCTATTCCGGATTGTTCTATTAAAACTACTCATTATAAGCATTCTGGGCCCTCCTCTTTTTGCTCTCCAGCCCACTGTCCCCTCAGGCTGACAAGGCACGCGGGTCCTTCTGCCTCTTCACCTTCTCACCAAATGAAGCTCTTCTGCGGCTCCTGTGTCACCCGCCTGTCCCCCTACTCCTCTGCCCACCCTCTCGCCGGGCTTCCCGCTCCCTCAGTAACCTCTAACGGGGTTCGCTTACGCGCCCACCAGCTCTCGGGGAGCTAGCGTGCCCGACGGTGTGCTTGGTTCCGGGCCAACAAACTTCCTCACGACCCTGCAGCGCCCTAGCTGGGCCGCGCGGCGCCGTCTCCCGGTTCCCCGGCACGGCGGCGGCGGCGGCGCGGGCGCGCTCTCGGCAGTGGCCGCGGGACTCTGGCAGCTGAGGCGTCAGAGGCGGGGGGCCGCGTCCTCCTCACACCGCTTCTGGGACGTTCCCGCGGTGGCGACGGCGGCGGCGGCGGTGGCGGCAGCGGAAACGAGGACGTCGGGGACGGCGGCGGCGCTCCGGCCGGCCGCGCTGCGCATGCTGCAGGGTAATTAAGAAGCAGGGCCGGACGCTCCGGGACGTGGCTGGGCTGGAGTCCCGGGATACCCGCCCGCGCCCGCGCCCGCGCCGCCCCGCAGAAGCCGCACTTGAGAGAAACATCCGCATGTGGAGTAGGTAACCCTGGGCCCCAGGGCAGCGTCTCTTAGCTTACACCCCTTAACTGGCTCCCTCGCTTCCAGGGCTAACACCGTCCAAAAAAAAAAAAAAAAAAAAAACAAAAAAAAAAAGGGCAAAAACCGAAAAAAAAAAAAAAAAAAAAAAAAAGCGCTCTAACGGCATGTATTGATACAGAGTTTGTTTTGCTCCTTTAATCCCACATATTTTTTTTTGTAATGTATTTGATGTCTGTCTCTACCCGCTTCAACAGTGCTCATAGTTCCGCTTCACAGACACACATAATCAGAAAAACCACCTGGAACTTAAGTGTAACGCATGAAGCCTGCATCATGTGAACATAGGTACACGAAGTACATGGTATGTAGCACATGAGAGCGGCCGTCTCCTGCCAAACGCTTTTGGTCCCGTCCTTGAGACACCTATGGGAACGTATGCAGGTGTGCATTATTTATCCACCTAAACATATTTCCATGTGTAGCACAGTTTTTACATTTTCCTGAAAAGCAGATGCACACCGATAACCAGAAACACGAGCAGATGACATGGCCCGGGCATATGTGAGAGGACATGTGAAGGGTCGGTCGCAAAACCGCGCAGCTTACCTTGAATTCGTGTTTGAGCCCCTCAGAGGCGCAGTGGAGTCCGGACACGGCTGCGGCACCGCGGAGGAGTGAGCTCCCTGCGAGTGGGGAAGGGGGACGCATCTCTGCCCTTATTAGTCTCTCCCAGTGTGACCCTCCCACTCCGCGAGGACAGAGGACTCTGCAAGACAGTACTCAGCCAACTCAGGCACAGGTTTTCCTTAATGACAGCGATGTCGCGTTAGAGCTGGGAAGACTGCCTTTCAGGTTATGTTTTACTAGCGTTTCACAGATAAAATGACGGTTGGATGCAGATGCCTAGAGTTTCTCACTTCTGATTATGAAGTGTCTTCAAAGTATTATTGTATGTGGCAAACGTTCACAAGTAGGTAATTGGCTTTTTTAACGGTTGAGCTAAGAAAAGGTATCATTTATGTTTCATTTTTTCACTTTTATGTCAAGAGTTTATATAAAGTTAATTAGGCAGTCTGCCCACCTTCTAATCATGCTCATAAGTAAACGTTTGTATGGTTTGGTTTTTCTCAGTGTTCACAGAAGTATTTTGATTTTAAATACATCTTTCCATGGGTTGGTGCTAGCAGTCTTGGCTTTGGAACTCTTTTGGCATTCCTTTGAATATTTATTTGAAAGTGTCATTTTCCTGCAGATTTCTGTGTAGGTGCACATATGTGTGTGTAGAGAGAATATATATATATTTGTAGGCATATATAGTAAGTTTATATATACATATGTAGGAGATATATATGGATATTTATAGGCATATATACATAGTTACATATACATATATAGTAAATTTATATACGTGTGTGTGTGTATATATATATATAGAGAGAGAGAGAGTGTATGCATATGTTTGTGTATATGTGAGAAACAGAATGATTTATAGAATTCAGAAGAGTAAAAACCAGGCATTAGAAAACAGATAAGATAAACTGGTTTAACATTTTTTATTTCAGTATCGCCACAGTGGAAGAAATAGGATAAATTATATTATTGATCCACAATGGTGAAAATCATCAAGCTTAAAAGTTACCTTAGAACCATATAAAATATACTTCACATATCAAGGCTCACAGATCAGGGAATAATGAAATCAGGCAGGCAAAAAATAAAGATGTTAAGAAAAATTTTAAAAGATAGCTCCTTTCCACTTCATTGGAATGAAACCATTAACGTATCGCTCATGTTTTTTAAACTTTAGAGTCCGACATTGATGGTGATGCAAACCATGTTTCAATGTCAGGGATTCAAACCACCTGATATGTTTCCCTCTCATGTGATTTTCATCACTAATTTTTGGATGAGTGTGGAAAGAGGCCAAGGAGGAAGGATATTGCATGAGTCACGCTACTCAAATGGCCATTTGAAAAACATGATTCACAAGACTTTTGGTGATCATTCTCTATATTTTTGAAGTATTATCCCCTTTAATTTTTTTCTTTCTCTAAGCAGTTGTACTTTATATGCCTTTCCATCACTAGTGAATTGAACTAAGAGTATCCAGGCTTTATTTCTTTGTCAGATTATTAAATTCACCTTATTTACAGTTAATTGATACTATTTAAAGTAATGCTTTAAAACTACCTAAGAGGAAGCCCACAATTTTGTCCCTAGTTTATTTTAGAGTTATTTTCTTAAACATTTTAATAATTTTATAATTGCTAAGATATTTATGAGAGAGTTAAATGCTTATATTTTTGTTTCTGTTTCAAAATGGCCCTTTTCTTATTCATAACATTGAAACAAACAAGATTTTGGAAGAAAGTGAGAAATGAATAAATAAAATTCCAAATTATTATCTGTTGCTTATTCTGTTTCTAAATACACCAACATCCCCAGGTCAACAAATATTTCTCTATTTTTCTTTCAGGAAATGGTTTAAATATAGGCTGGTTTCATGGTCACAAACTATTGTATACCTATGGTTTGCTTCTTTAGCTAATTCCTTTTATTGAATTTTAAAGTGAATTCAATTAGAATCTTTAACAAAACACCTTTTATTTGTCTAAACCAAGTACAATTATAAATGATCTGGTTTTCCCCTTGCTTCTGAAGCTACTGCTGATAAACAAACATGTGAAACTATTAGGGGAATCTGACAGGACTCTAAATTTTAACAAACAGCTTGCAGCACACACCAAGTTCAGCTGTGTGCATGTATGTACTGAAAAAATTTAACAGATTTAAAAAACAAACTTCTTTCAACATTTGTTCCTAAAGGAAGATAAAATTAAATGTTTTTGTGTCATATGAGGGATAAATTCCACTGAAAACATTTAAAAAAAACCTGTTCCATATTTGTAATGCCCCACTGATATAAATTTAACAATTTACAATTATCATTGTACCAATTTTGATAATTTGGATTCAATAAATTTTTAAAATATGTTTCTCCTTAGCCTTAGTTGTCAATCGCATCTGCTTTATGTCTGTTTCTTTTTTCTATACTGTACAGAAGTATAGAAAAATGTCATGTTGCTCTTTTTCCCTTTTGTAATGTCTTTCACTTTCCCCCCTTCATAGTTTCCATTTTTCAAGAAGAAAGAATTTCACCATTGCCCCCAGCTAACTTCTCAGTTACCACACCATAAGAGTGTTCATTCTTTATTGAATTTATGGGGCACAGCCATACATGACTCCCTTACATATCCCATTGAAATACTTCAATGCATCAGTAGTGGATGAACAGACGTTACTGTTAACTGTAATTACCAAATCTGACTTGTCATCCCTAGCATGCACTTCCCATTATATTGCTCTTTAGGCCAGCACTACGTATGATGTTCTTAAGGGTAAAAAAGAAAGTAGTCATATCAATTCTAAATTCTTAGTAATTGCCAAAAGTAAATTAGGGCATCTTTTTATTTTAAATGCTGTGTTTACCATTGTTTCTGAAAATAATTTTCTTCATAGAGAAAATAATATTCCACTGGTTGTGTTTAGGTTTGCTTTTCTTCCTAGAAGACATTCTAGCTCATGACATTTACTCAGTTTAGAAATGAAAGGAAGAGGCGATCATGGATGTGACTTTCACTTAGTTTATTAGACTCTCTTCCTAGGGATCAGTGACTCTGAAAGGAAATATGGGAAAAGACAAATGGCCTGGGAAAATGTTTATTAATATACATCCAGTTCTGAAAAATCGTTTGAGAGAGAGAGAGTGAAAGAAATACCCCAATAGAAAAATAGGCCAAAGAGCAAAGAGGCAATTTACAAAGGAAATAGAAAAGGTCAATAAATTTATAAAAAATATTCAATTTAATTAGTATGTAAAAATGCACGTTTATAAAGGAACTATTTTCCTCTACCCATTCTGCCAAGATTAATATTACTGATTAGACTTGGTGTTAGTATAAAAGAAGAGCATTTTCAACAATTCCAGGAACATATAATAGTTCACTGTTTCTAAAGGGCAAATTAGCCATGTTCATTAAAAGCGTTTAAAAAATGCGTATAGACTGCATCATAAACTCCCCTAAAATAGTAACTGTGGTTACTTATAGGTTGGGCTTATGATAATTTTGATTTTTTCTTTTTGGTTATATGTAATGTGTAAGTTTTCTACAGTGAACATGTGTTATTGTTGTAGTAAAAGTATAATGAACATGAAAAAATGTGGTGTTTTATCTCCAACAAATTAATAAAGCAGTGGTATTAAGAGAGTCGAGAAACTGGCCTTTTAAATACAGTTTTCAATCATTTCCAACAAGAATATTCCAGGTAAAAATTAGTATGTAATTTAAGCCATTTAAACTGAGTCTAGCAATTTCACTGGGAAGCAGATGTTAATTAAATTGTTTATTTCTTCAACATATATTCTTGAACACTTTTTAAACTAGCCACTTCAGAGTATACAAAGATACATTGAATGTAGGCCCCACTGCCTGGAGTTTAACATTGAGAAAAAAAAAGAAGACATGTATAAATAGGATATAAAAGTGCAAAATGTAATAAGCAAAGTAAATATAAGGTTCTAAATGAGTTTTAAGGTAAAGGGACTGTGTTCAAATGTGGAAGCATCAAAGTAAAAAAAATTTCAGTGGACAAAATCCATCCATTGTTTGGTAGACTAAATATACTTACAAATAATTATAGAGTCATAGTACTGGAGGGCCATTGTAACTAAATAATTATGAAATTATGGGTTTACTGTTTATTTAATAAATGTTTGTTGAAAGAATCTGCAGAGAACAAGCCTACTTCTTATTCAGATGAAGAACATGAGATTCTTATTTTCTGCTGAATTAAAACCTTTTGCTGAATTCAGTCTTAAACAGTGTCACCCAATCTACTCTTATCAGTTCACTTAAAGGTACATTTTACTACAACCAGATTTAATGACTTGTAACGGCAGAATGAGCATGTCTCAGCATACTCATGTTGCTGCCTCCCCCCAAAATACGAAGTGGCTGTGGGAATTCTGCCAGCCATTCAAGGCTTACTTCAGGTGTTAGCGATAATGTGATTACTTTCCTGCCCTCCTCCCATCAATCAAACCCTCTTATGCCCCTGAACAGCACAGAGCACAATTTGTGCCTCTTTAATGATGATCTACATTCCCCTGCCTTGTTTTAGAAATAGTTTTGTACTTTGTCCTCTGACTTAATTGTAAGCTCCTTGAGGACTGGAATTGGGTCCTCTCATTTTTAATAATACTTGGAACATCAAGTATGATGAATTCATTCTCCTTTATACAGTCTTCAAATATTCATTGAAGTGAAACCTGTAGAGGTTAAATAATCAAGGACATGAAAATTTCTAATAACGAAGTATGGACTGAATTAAAACCTTTTGCTGAATTCAGTCTTAAACAGTGTCACCCAATCTACTCTTATCAGTTCACAGTTTGGAAAAAATGATGGGTTCCCTTTTGTGTTATATCTAAGGGAATTATTCTTCTGATAAAAGAGTCACAGGAAAAATTGTTCTCACCTATAAAAGACTCCCAGAGCAGAGACTCTAAGGACAGCAACACAGGAAGACAGGACTATCATCAATTGAAAACGTCCTCATCATATGTTCTCTTCATTCCTTTACCAAACTTAAGGTAAATTTACACTATCAATAATAGAGCACAACCCTGTTTAATCTCTTATTATTGTTAGAATATGAAAAATGATCTAAACCCTAAATGTTTTTAAACAACCAATTCTGTCTACAACATTTTTTAAAAGAATAATTCAACACTGGCACATCATAAATGATCGCTTGGCTCATATATTATGTCAAGTTTATGTCTGTAAAATTGTGCTTCTTTTTGTTGTAACTTCTTTTTGCAACATTTATTTTCAATG